CTTCGCGTGTGGGAATGGTGGAGAGCCACGGATTGGAAACGGTGAACAGTGTCAGAAATCCTCCATCAAGGACAGTTTCTCATTCGCACTGATGAGGGACTGGATCACGGTAGCCGTGCTTGGGACGAGCCGATATAAGTCGTCTGGCTGGACCACGCTTTAGTGGGTAAAAAAAAAATTATGTGACCGTGGCGTTCGCTCGATCTCGTCAGTCAATGCGTAGGTTGAAGTCAAAGTCGGTACCGCATAACGTGTATAGCTATCAGACGTGAGAGCCGGCGGGGTGGTTCGTTTGATACAAGGCGTAAGGTCTCGGATGTTCATGGATGGCGTGGACGGACGTAAAACCAGAGATCCCTTTCCCTTGGTCTATGAAGAGAAAGGGGAGGGGAGGAAGATATGTATAGGCAGCGGGCCGCGATGGCGGGTGCCGGGGGTCTGCTTGTGTACCTTCTTGTTCTTTGCTACGGATCCCGCTGCCTAACAGGTACGGGGGATGGACAAGAGGGTCGAAGTCTGGGACTGGGGTAGCACGTCCGCGCACCCAACCACACATCAACGAAGACTCGGGACGGGTATTTCTCTCGTGATGGAGCTCTCCATGCGCTAGCATCGAGTGTTGGGACTGGTCGGACCGGGGGGGACAAGGGGAAAGGGGGGTCGAGACAACGCCGCCAATAATGAAGGTTTCCTGGTTTGGTCTGGTCTGGGGTTCAAGGGCCATGGAAACCCGTCATGGTACCTACGAAGTTCTTGCGGTGGCCTTTTTTGCTGGATCGTGCTCTTCCGAGGGAAGTCCATGGGGGGGTGAGGGGACACCCCTGGACCTGACGAGCTGACGGGCGACACTCTCTGGTATCTGGGCGCCGAGGCGGAAGAGATCCATGGCGCTGCGAGAGATTTCGCCCCCCTTCGAAGCGCATGAGGGCACCAGAGGAGGTCCTGCAAAGACGATTGGAAGTTGGCGGGGGGCAGCAGGTCTGGCCGCAGCAATGCGGCAAGCGAGCGAGGGACGACGATGCTTGGGGCTGCAGGGGCATCGATTGATGCCATGCGAGGATGTGAAGCTGGGTGGTTGCCCCTCTTACCCCCCTGATCCCTGAATGGGCGACAAGGGGAAGGGGGTGTGTGAAGATCACACTACAGGACCCACCCTCCTCAGCCCTCCACTCCACCACCCCAATCACGACGCGGCCGCGCTGCGGTGCGGACTTCGCAGGTACCAACCACACTTACCTATGGCGTAGGTATGGGCAGGAGTCCCCCGACGGACTGGCGGGACCTGCCACTTGAACGCACAAGTACCTACCCGCTAGCAGGAGGATGTTGCTGGAGATTGAATCTCTTGTTCTAATCTCGTTCCTACCTTGGTACATAAGCACCTAAGTATTACCAGACTTTAGCTCCCCTCCCGAGATGGTCCCCCCCAAGGACACTCAATCGGCTGGAGAGTCGTCAGCAAGAGCTGGAACGCTCATTGCGGGAGGTCGTCATACTGGGGATGACTTGGTCGCCTGCTGTGCCGCCAGTCAGCGCTGCAGTCGCGTCTTGCCCTGATGACACTGGCTGAGGGCTCGAGGTGACCAGCGAGTACGAGTCCAGAATAGGGCCGGTCGTGGCTGCCCGCTAGCCCGCTGCCCCGCCAGGGCGTCGGACAGCCGTCGTCGGTCCCCGTCGCCTGTAAAAGTGGCGAATCGCAGGACGTACAGGGGGCCTGTTGTCAGTATCGCAAGCTTCTTGGCAGTGAGTGTGCCCTGTCCATCCTTGATGATCAGATTCATCCTTGGGTGTCCACTGTCGACACAGGAGAGGAGCCTGATTGACAGCCAAGACGCGACACTCCTGTCGTCCTGTCGCGCACCGAACAGGAGCGGGACCCTCACAAGAGGCGTCATGATCAAGATCTGGCGGCAAGCACACGCAGTCGATGCTTCCTGCCAATGTGAGGTGCCGGTCCTGCCTACGCACCACGATCGACCTACGGGTGAGTGGTCCTCTTGCTCTCGAGCTGACGTCGTGATGGCTTAGTAGCTTTTCTCCGTTTCCCATTGCCCAATTGTCATATCCCGTCAAGAGCAAATCCATGATGCGTCCCAGCCAGGCGCCGCCATCACCCATCGCCATCACACACCCACCTATCTCACCGTACTCATGTCTCGGCTCCGCATCAGCGTCGGCGCACCTCGAGCGCCACAACCTCCTCTGTCTGAATCAGATCCCCCTCCACTAGAGCCTGCATTGTCATCACACCGCACCCACCAGTCTTGCTTCTGCACTCAGTTGTTGAGTTGCGACACCAGCTGCAGTCGACGAGATCAGACGGAATCACCCTCGTGATCGCATCGCCATTCTCGTCGTGGGCGCTGGCCCACTTCTCCTAGCAAAACCTGGTTGTCTCACAACGTTTGGTTCAACAAAGGTTGGACCGCCAGCTTGGCTAGCTTCTCGGGCGTGGCCTGAACCGACCTCTCTTTCAGCGTAGCAGCCGGTTACAACTCTACTGGGCCGCAACCCACCCAAACGTCCCCTACTTTGGCTCAATGACAGAAGGGCCGTTTCAGGCAAGCAGGGCCT